TGTTTTACAGAATTAACTTGTTTTTTATTTGTTTTTAGAACTAATAAAGTGTAAAGGATAAGCAGCAGCATTTTTTAAAGCCAAATTCACAAGAAACTAGTTTGGACTTTTTAATAATTGGTACAAAATGGTTCGGTGGCCAGTGATTATTATTTTGCATTACTGACATAATATCAGTATTACACCATACCATATTTAAAATAATTTGATTTTGATTTTAATTGAACGAAATGAAAAAATAATTGTATTAAAAAGTTTTTTGAATTTTTCTAAGCCAAAATCACGATAAATTGATCTAATAGGAATATTTAAAACTGTTGACAAACCAATTAGACAGAAAAATGAAGAAAACTTGTTAACTTGACAGTTGATCAATGCTTCCATTTTAAAAATTTCAGAAGCTGATTCACTGTTAATTAATTCAAATTGATCTGAACATTCAAAAGAAACACAGGCTACTAGCACACTGTAAAGATTAGAAAAATGATTGTTTTCAACCTGTTAACGAAAAGGGAGTACCTTGCATAGTAGGAAGCTTTTTCAAACAATTCAATCGAAGTTAGAAGCCTCAATTCATTAACTGTCTTCGGAGACGAATTGCTTGAAAGAGAAGCTGAACTGTAGAGCAATTTCCATCTTCAGATGACCTTAAATAAAAAGCTTAGTTTAGATTATTTTCTAGCTGGAAATATGAAATATCACTAACTTTAATAATAGGGTTTTAGATTAAACCAACATAATCTTAACTATCTTCTTGCTTTGGGATAAAATGATCCATTTTAGTATTTTCAGAAGACTGACTGTGGCTAAACTGGACTCTAGTTATTTAAAACTTTCAATTCTTCAGTCAACTGATTTTTATATTGGCAAATATTTGGCAAATGTCTAGCCTTAATTGCATTTGAGACTAAAAAATTCATTTTTTTTAAACTTTAATTTACTAGCAAAGTCCAACGGCGAAAATTACGAGCAAAGAACGTATGGGTGGCATATCAGAATTTTGTAAATTTTAAACGATTTGGAGCAACTGATGCAATTGTTCTGAACTTTCTACAAATTTGATTGGTTATAAAAAACATTCCTTATCTTTTATGAAACATTCTTATAATTTTTTTACGGAAGGTTTGTAGCAACTGTTGCAATTGTTATTTTATTAAATAGTGATTGGTTTAAACTGTTTTTTAACCAATTATTAATGATTTAGAGTACAGTTGCTTCATTTGCTAGAAAGTGATCGGAAAAATTTGAAAATATGATTGGTTAAAGCGTTAGTTTTTTTTTAATCAATCACATTTGTATTTAGCAATGATATATTATATAATTAAATGTTTAACTTGCGAGATGTTATTGCACAAAAAAAAAAGCCGCTTATTTTGGTTTATAACAATAGTCCGCCATTTGTAAAAAGGGCAAAAGCTGAAGCCGAAATGTGGAATAAAAGTTAAAAATGCGAGTCAAAAGTTCCCAATCAATTAAAGATAATTCAAAAACAAATTTTTTTAATTATAAAATACTTTAAACAATTTTAATTCATAAAAATGTTTCAAAAGCGTCTGTCGTTTTACTTTATTATTCAAAACTTTAATCCAAAATAAATTAATGATTCAAAATTACTATTTTACAAGTATTATTTTTTCGCTCAACACTTATACGTAAAAAGTATTTAAATTTAAAATCTATTTAAATCATTTATGAAAAGAAAAGTTAAAAATATTTGTTTACAAATTTAATCCGCCATTTGTAAAAAGGGCAAAAAGCGGCTTCACTTTTCGGATCGAAGTTAGAAATCTAGTTATATAATATATCATTTGTATTTAATTAAGAACAATTGCATCATTTTCTCCAAAACACAAGAATTTTGTCTAAGTAACGAATAAGCAACTATAGAGATCAAATAAAATCGAGTTTAGATATTTTTTTTTCGAGTTTAAAACAAGTTTTTTATTTTTTGTGAATATCATATTCTAGTTTCTGTTTCAACTTTTTATTATGAAAAAAAGAGATGCACGCGCATAAGTGGCGACACCCTTGGATATATATATATATATATATATATATATATATATATATATATATATATATATATATATATATATATATATATATATATATATATATATATATATATATATATATATATAGGGTGTCCCAACCGCCCCTTATATTCTAAAAATCTTCTGTTCATATTCTTAAAACTTTCTATTGGTTCTCACAAGCAACTCTGTTAAATTTTTTCAAAATTTTTTTTGATTTAGGTGGAGCACAAGACCCTTGAACACTTACCGGGTCCCTAATAATATTAAAAAAATTTTTTCTCAAAAGTATGTCATGTTGGGTCTCAATAGAAGCAAAATTATATAAAAAATTTTTAAATAACAATCATTTTATAAAAAAATTTTTATTTTAGAGTTTTTTTTGCAGAAAAATGACCTTTTTTAACCTAAAAATAAAAAAAGTGTATTTTTCTGATAATTGTTCCAAAAAAAAAAAATTGAATAATACCACCGACACCCAAAATCTACAAATCTTATGCGAGCTGTTTCAACAAACCATAAGTAGATCGTTTTTTTTTTTTATATGTTAATAGAGTTTACTTTTTTTTTCATATTTCAAAAGGTCGATCTTCGGCATCAAGAATATATAATGATGATGAAACTGGTGTTTCATGCTTTACAAAATAGACGGCAAAATTAACATCTGGAGAACGATCCAGAAATATAACAATCTTTTTCAATGATATTGTGTACTTCTATTCTTTATATTTCCTTAAAAAATTGATAAAAGTAGACATCTGATGATTGAGGGACCCCCTGATAGTATTGCAGTTCCATCCAGTATCGCGATGAAATGATGGGCATGCATCAAATCAATAATTATCGGTTATTGAATATGCTAAAAACCAACACATTCATATGCTTAGTATCCCTCCACACACCACCTACAAGTTACAACGACTAGATTTTTCATGAAACCCTTTAAGACTGAATTTAGTGAAGCATCAACAAAATGGATGAGGATATATCCTGGAGACAAAATTTTAGATTATGATATTGCTGGTCTGCGTTTTCGAAATTTACACACTATGAATAGCTCAAAGTGGATTTATATCCAGCTACTAAATCTGCAATTACTCTCGGGGGGTTAATAAAAAAGGGGGGGGGATTTTTTATAATACAATATAAATATTTTTTATAAAAAATTTCATTTTATAAATCCGAAATAATATTTTTTTTCAAAACACGCTTAAAACTATTTAATTTTAGCGTGGCTTGCGGTTAAACTGCGTATTTTCGAACTGTTGTTTTATCATAATTTCAATAGGATTTAATATGCTGATATTTTGTTTAGAAATTAATCAAAAGCTCCTTTACGACAAATCAAGATTTACTGGGTCAGCGATTTTTAAGCCTGTTTACACTGAAAGTTTTTGTTTTTGTCAGTGACTGAAAAAATTGTTTTTAAATTTTTAAGGCCGATTTACACTGAATTTTTTTTTTTAGTTTTGAGATATAAATTTTTTGCTGACAACAAGTAAAAATTAATAAACGGGGGTCTTAATAAGCTTGGGGTGGGTGGGAAAGTTTGCCCCCCCCCCCCCCCACACACACACACACACCATTTTTCATTAAGGGCTCGAGAGTACTGATGTTTTATGTTTTTATCTCCGACTCCTGCAATTTCTCAAAAAAAATTCTACTTATTTTAAGCAACTCATTGTTGAGAATGAAATGCTTCCTAAACTTAATTAATATAAGAAATAAACCTGCACAATACATTAAAAAAGAAGTAAAAAATATGCTAATTGTTTGAAAGTCCAAATAACAAAAATCAACGTAAACTATGTAAATAAAATTTTAATAATGAAGACTGGATTCAGTGCTTTACATAAAGATTAGGCGCAACTCTACACAAAAGTATGTGTAGAGTTCCTACTTCTGACTATTATGGTTGCGACGTATGGTGTTGAAAAAAAATTACCCAAAGTGCCAAGTGTTTATCTTTGAAATTTCTTTTTTTGAAGGTTTTGATTTACTTGTGGGTATTTTTTTATCAAGGATCGCTAACTTTTGTAAGTTAGCGAAAAGCTATCGATATTAGAAAAGATAAAGACAGCGATTTGGCTACGAGGAAAGCTAGCTTAACAAGCCAAAGACCCACCGGCTATTGTAGCTAGCGTCATATCGTAATAAAATCGTTGTCTAAGAAATTTTAATATGTAGCTATCAACCAGCTATAGATTTGTAGATATTTTGTAGCTAGCTACAAAGCTACAAAATGGAGCTAGCCACACATTACAATAAAATCGCAATGTTTAAAGTTCAATTATTCTCATAATTATAATAGAATTAATACTAAAAATCGAATTTTTAAAGATGTTAATGACATTAGAAAAAAGTAAAATAATAAAAGAAAAATCGCTATAAAGCTAGCTAGTCGCTCTCTAGTCACTAGCTCTTCCCACTTGGAAAGTGTTTTAAATGTGTTTTGAATGAAGTAAATTAATTCTAAATTATGTCGTTTTTAAAATTCTTGTTTCAATCCCAGTGAATAGACTTGTGGCAATTTTTTTTTAATGTATCACAAACTTTAAAAAAAACTAGTCGCACAAAAAAAATAACAATATATTAAACAATAGTCACAAAAATTGTTTAGAAATTCTTCTTCTGATTATAACTAGAATGTGTGGTAAAACGATAGTTAAATAATCCATTAAGTATGTGCCTAATGATCTAAAATGAAGTAAACTCCTGTTTAAAATATATGTCCGAGGCTACCCTCTAATTTTTTTAGATGTCTGTTTTCTAATATTTTTTTCTTTTATGCTTTGTGTTTTATTAAAGTGCACTATTTATACCATTAATAACTAAGTCATTTAAAACTTTTCGTTATTGTTTGAGCAGTATACTACTTATTTCTTAAGTGTCCGTGGCTGTCCGACTTTATCTTTTTAATAAAATTGTTTTTGAGTAATATTTAAATGAATTTTTTTAATTTTTTAGGAACGTACAGAACTATGAAAATATTCAAGAAACGTCCTCTAATATCTTCGTACTCTCTTCTTTGTGTATTTTTATTTAAATGAACATTTATCGTTTAATAGTTAAAATCGAGAAAAAAAAACATCAAATCGCAGCTTTGTTTGTAATACAATCAAGAAAATCGATCATGCATGGCTTTAATTGTAATAAAATTGATAAAATTATCGTTACGCAGTTTTGTTGGTAATGAAGTAAGAAAAATCAACCGAGTACAACTTTCTTGTTAAAAATGTCTATCAAACGTGAATTGACGCCAATGCGATTAGCAACTTATTTTCATTACACTATTTATTTCATTAAACTATTATTTGACTTTTCGCAGTTCATACTTTTCACAATTAATTTTTTATATCGCGAATTAAAATCGTTGTAAATAATTTGACTACTATAAAAAAATATTTGCAAACATTTCATATACTATATAACTAGATGGACGTCTATGGGTATAAATGTTTCATATTCAGTAGGGTTGTCATACTATTTCCTTTTTTTTTTTTTGTTTATGCGACACAATGATCGCAAAAAGTGACCAACGGAGCCGTCCAGTTTCGTAGACCTGGGAGATGTAGTAATAAAAACAGTTAGTAGATGGTGTTGTTGAATAAAAAATAAAAATCATAAGAAAATATAAAATTAGTGGTAAGACTTTTGTGAAGGTAAAAAACGAAGTTAAATGCTCGGGGGGCAAAGTAAGAAACAACCAACTCTCTAGTCACTCTGTGCATAGATCATATGTAACAAAAAACAAATATTTGATATACTGATTTTAGAGACTGTTGATGTCTAGAGGTGTAATGGTGTAGTGCATTAGTGCGTACAGCAAATTTCAATTGATCGAATGCACACATTAGTCACCGTAGGCCACAAGCCATCACTCTTAGCCAAATGAGCTACTGCCCCGTGCTGGTATGGAATGATGTGCTGTGGAGTGAGATTTTAGATCCGAGCACATAGACAGCGATCGCTGATCCGACATTGTGTAGCTTCCAACTGAACGTGTGCGTTAGTGTAAGCGTAGTCGTTAGGTTTTTGACCACCGTAACCACATCCAGCGGGATAGCCTAATGTCCGTTTTGTCGTTGTGGTGTACATTGGAAAAAGTCGGGGCTCACCAGCCACAAAGAATAAATTTTTTTGTTTATGCGACACAAAGATCGCAAAAAGTGACCATAGGAGCCGTCCAGTTACGTAGACCTGGGTGAAAATTAAAACAGATTGTAGATGATATTATTTAGGCAAAAAAACATAAATTAATGTAAAGACTATTTAGTAGGAGGATTAAAGGTTAGCGACTCAGGAAGAGAAGAACCATAACTCACACTCTAGTAATTATTAGCAAATGATAAAACAATAATCTATGAGTAAACAAGTCAATATAAATCCGCTAGTTTATTAATGGTATCCATTACTAAAATAATCGCACTATACAAAAATAATAAAATAAGTAGATAACAAAATAGTAAGTAAAATGATAATAAATGAAAGTTGGAGCAATATATAAAGTAAAAGTCAAATAATTGTGGTACTATATATGGTCTAAACTCTAGATAATAAATTGAAAACTGATAATCACCTGAGTAACACAAAAATATATAAATGTCCTTAATGTAACAAATTTATAATAAAAAACTCACAAAGCGTTAAACTTCATGGTGTGAGAGGTAAAAAAATGTTCGTGCCAAAATATCCAATTAGAATTAAGTAGTGGATGAATGGTGATCCTCCTCGTCAGGAATGCACTGCGATCACCAATTTTTCAAGTTGATTTTTTAAGTTGAAAAGATATTGACTTCGACAAAGTTATTATTTTAATTAAATAGTCAAAATTATTTAAATAAATCATATAAAACGAAACTTTGCTGTCAAATTTTTAACATTTAAACTTTCCTAAATAATTTTTTAAAATTTGCTACCAAATATTGTTTCACTGATTAGTGAAGCAATATTTGGTAGCAGGCTTTTTCGCATCAAGCATAATTAACACCTGTTCCATAAAATTTGAGACTAACTTGAATTAGCAATATTTAATTAGTAAGCTTGATAAAATAATTAGTATTTGGTATCAAATGAAAGCTCTATCTTTCCTCTTTAATCAGCATATAAATTCTCTGATCATTTCTTGTTTAGGTAACAATTTAAAATGCCAAATCAACCAGCCCTAAAAAATCTTGTGTATAATTTTTATAAAAAAAAAATATTAAGATGGAAAACACGTTGTTTGGAACCATTTCAAGATGGAGGGCTACTCAAAAGCTACAATTTATAGATATATGAACAGTTACGATCAAAATAAACCATTGAGTCGCAAAGCTGGAAGTGGAAGAAGGATTACTCTTAATCCACAAAACAACTGCATCAAATTAAGGAAAATGTTTAACAATCGAAGAGGTGTGTCACTTTCAAAGGCTTTTAGAAGACTTGGTTGTAGCAAAAGCACCATTGGACGAATCTTAAAATACTTTAAAAAGTCTATTCTTTGTTATAAAAGAAAATAAAGACTAAGCAGAACTCCTGAACAGAAGCTTTGGGGTCGCCGAAAATGTGGTCAACTTTATTCAAAATATCGCAACCATGAGTTTATTATTGACAATGAGTCATACTTTACTTTGTCGAATAGCACACTAGCTGGTAATAACACATACTATTCAAATGATCAAGATTGACACCTGACATTGTTAAGTATTATGATGTTGCAAAATTTAAAAAAAAAATACTTGTATGGATGGCAATCTTCCTTCGAGGAGTCACATCTATTTACATTGTTCCTTCTGGCCAAGCGGTAAACCAAGAGATCTATTTAAAAGAGTGTTTACAAAAGCGCTTTCAACCTTTTTTTAATAAATATTATCAAGACACCAAATATATCTTTTGGCCCGATTTAGCAACACCTCACTATGCTAATTCGGTAACAAAATGTTTAAAAACCCAAAAGATACCATTTGTTCAAAAAAAAAGACACTCCAGCAAACTTACCAGAAGCTCGTGCTATAGAGGATTTTTGGAAAATGCTTAAGCAAGGTGTGTACAAGAATGGATGGTCTGCAGATAATATATCAAACCTTAAGCGTCGGATTCGTTATGTGGAATAGGTCAAGTTTACTGTGCCAGTTGACTTGACCTAAATGCTGTACAAAAGCTGGTACAAGGTACCAATACCAGATCAAATTCGAAGATATTGAGTCTTGTGATAATTTTTTTTCTATTTTCCTATTCTGCATTAATTCTAAGAAAATACCAAAAAAAAAAAAAATTTATCGTATTTAATTAAGTTTTTAATTAAGTTTAAAGCCAGTCTCAAATTTTATGGCACACGTGTTACTTATTTGCTAATATATACATTCCAATACAGCTAAATAAAAACAAAAAATTTTATTCAAGCTTTTGAGTACTTTAAAGTGCATAAATCAAACAGGATTTAACTAAAAAAAAAAAAAGAAAGCACAGCATATCAAAAAAAAAGATACAGAATTCTAATTCATAATTTACCTTGACTTTAAGTTTCAGCAATGATTTTGTATCTGTTATGTTAAATCGCGAGGTTAGAACTATTTTGTTTTATCTCCATGTTTTTCCGAACCGAGAAAATCAAGTTCCAAGTTTTAAATGGATTTGCAGACCAAATAACATAAAAAACGCAAACAAAACCGATTTATATTAATTTTCTTTACAGGCTACCAAAATTTTAAAGAAATTGTATTAAAATATTTAAAGTGAAGGTCTCTGAATTACAACACCTTGATTTGGAGATAGAACAATGTAATGCACAATTATTTTATAAAATACAATGTTATTTTGTTCTATTTCCATTTTCTGTTAAAAAATATAATACAAACTAATACTTTCTATATATATTGCGGGAAGATGATTTTATATTTTGGCAATTAAAGTACTGTAATATTTATTTTATTAGAAAAAAATCTTATTTTACAATAGTGAACATAATATAAACACGCTATTTTGTCTAAAATTCAATTCAACAGAGAAGATAAGTAATATATTATCAAAAGTATGTACCAAGATCTTCACATCGAAATAAAACTTTAGTTATAAGTTCTAAAAGCATAACATCTAAAATACATTGCACAATAAAAAGATATCTTAAAGAATAATTAGTTAACTAGTACCTCTAGTATTTTTATTGGACTACCATTAAAAATATAACATTTCAGAAAGAAGTCCATTTAACAACATAACATGTAAAACATATATATTTTGACAATAAAATAAATTATTTTAATATACTCTTATAAAATGCAATATTTACAGCAGGTATATACTTGAACAGATTTTGAAGGACATTGGATTTATTATTTGAAATTTGAGCACCCTGATTCAAGTCAGAAAACATTAGTACCTCTGCAGATCGCAGATTGTTAATTCATGCTCTTGAGCAAACATTATTACATGATTTTCTGTAGTATATATGATCTGAATGCTAAATGCTTTATCTAGCTATAGGAAACAAGGTTAAAATTAAAAAAGCCTCCAATTTCTTCATTTGGTAGACAGAATTTTTTTTTTTTTGAAGAGCATTCAAATTGCTCTGATTAAACTAAATATTTCAACACTAGCAAGAGCTCTATCAATGTGACTTAAACTTTTGTTAAATATTTCAACAGTAGCAAGAGCTTCTATCAATGTGACTTAAACTTTTGTTAAATTACTCTGATTTTTAGGTATTATATCCCAAACCAAAAATCAACAAATATACGTGTTCATTTTTCATCACTGATATTTTTTGTGTATTTAAATTCACAAGAATTTAACAGTCCTTTATTTTTTGGTTAAAGATTTGCATAAAACATTTTCTCCCTTTCTACTTTTATACGGCTGATCAGATTGTCTTAGCTGCTTTCTCACATTCTGTATCCAAGTTTTAGGTGGTGACATTTCCTAGTTTTTCCTCAACGTGCAGACAACGAGCTGGTGCTATATATATATATATATATATATATATATATATATATATATATATATATATATATATATATATATATATATATATATATATATATATATATCGTTTTATGTAGTGTTGTATTAAAATAATACACAACTCTTGTTCGTTGAAAAGTGCTCAATATTTAAGAAATTTATTTTGATTATATATAAATTTCATAACAGAGCGGTTCATAATTAAAAACGAAAAAAGGAAAAAACTTTTATTATGAAACTTTAAGTTTCATGCCTAACGGCAATCATCAGCCATATATTACAAAATTTAAAATAGACGTTAAAATTACAATTAAAATTACGGTGACGTGAGTTCTAATGACTCCACGGAAACAAAACTTTAAGTTTTTAGAGTATCACGTGGCGTAAAAGTGACGTAAACCAATCAGGATCAATCTGCGGTATCATAGGAGGAAATAAGAAATTTATTTTTGTGTCTACACTTCGAGATTATT